AAACAAAGTTTAATTTTGGACCCCAATTTGGACCAACTTGAAAACTGGGCCCATAATCAAAAATCTAAATACATGTTTAGATTCAGCATATCAAAGAACCCCATATATTCAATTTTTGTTGAAATCAAACAAAGTTTAAATACTGGACCCTATCTTGGACCAACTTGAAAACTGGGCCCATAATCAAAAATCTAAACACATGTTTAGATTCAGCATATCAAAGAACCCCAAGAATTCAATTTTTGTTAAAATCAAACTAAGTTTAATTTTGGACCCTTTGGACCTCAATGAAGACAAATTTAAAAAACGGGACCGAAATTAAACATCTAAAAACACGGTTAGATTTGGCATATCAAAGAACCCCAATAATTCAATTTTTGATGAAATCAAACAAAGTTTAATTTTGGACCCTTTTGACCTCAATATGAACCAATTTGATAGCGGGGCCTACAAATAAAAAATCTAAATAATGGTTAGATTCAGCATATCAAAGAACCTCATATATTCAATTTTTGTTGAAATCAAACAAAGTTTAATTTTGGACCCCAATTTGGACCAACTTGAACACTGGGCCCATAATCAAAAATCTAAATACATGTTTAGATTCAGCATATCAAAGAACCCCATATATTCAATTTTTGTTGAAATCAAACAAAGTTTAAATACTGGACCCTATCTTGGACCAACTTGAAAACTGGGCCCATAATCAAAAATCTAAACACATGTTTAGATTCAGCATATCAAAGAACCCCAAGAATTCAATTTTTGTTAAAATCAAACTAAGTTTAATTTTGGACCCTTTGGACCTCAATGAAGACAAATTTAAAAAACGGGACCGAAATTAAACATCTAAAAACACGGTTAGATTTGGCATATCAAAGAACCCCAATAATTCAATTTTTGATGAAATCAAACTAAGTTTAATTTTGGACCCTTTTGACCTCAATATGAACCAATTTGATAGCGGGGCCTACAAATAAAAAATCTAAATAATGGTTAGATTCAGCATATCAAAGAACCTCATATATTCAATTTTTGTTGAAATCAAACAAAGTTTAATTTTGGACCCCAATTTGGACCAACTTGAAAACTGGGCCCATAATCAAAAATCTAAATACATGTTTAGATTCAGCATATCAAAGAACCCCATATATTCAATTTTTGTTGAAATCAAACAAAGTTTAAATACTGGACCCTATCTTGGACCAACTTGAAAACTGGGCCCATAATCAAAAATCTAAACACATGTTTAGATTCAGCATATCAAAGAACCCCAAGAATTCAATTTTTGTTAAAATCAAACTAAGTTTAATTTTGGACCCTTTGGACCTCAATGAAGACAAATTTAAAAAACGGGACCGAAATTAAACATCTAAAAACACGGTTAGATTTGGCATATCAAAGAACCCCAATAATTCAATTTTTGATGAAATCAAACAAAGTTTAATTTTGGACCCTTTTGACCTCAATATGAACCAATTTGATAGCGGGGCCTACAAATAAAAAATCTAAATAATGGTTAGATTCAGCATATCAAAGAACCTCATATATTCAATTTTTGTTGAAATCAAACAAAGTTTAATTTTGGACCCCAATTTGGACCAACTTGAACACTGGGCCCATAATCAAAAATCTAAATACATGTTTAGATTCAGCATATCAAAGAACCCCATATATTCAATTTTTGTTGAAATCAAACAAAGTTTAAATACTGGACCCTATCTTGGACCAACTTGAAAACTGGGCCCATAATCAAAAATCTAAACACATGTTTAGATTCAGCATATCAAAGAACCCCAAGAATTCAATTTTTGTTAAAATCAAACTAAGTTTAATTTTGGACCCTTTGGACCTCAATGAAGACAAATTTAAAAAACGGGACCGAAATTAAACATCTAAAAACACGGTTAGATTTGGCATATCAAAGAACCCCAATAATTCAATTTTTGATGAAATCAAACAAAGTTTAATTTTGGACCCTTTTGACCTCAATATGAACCAATTTGATAGCAGGGCCTACAAATAAAAAATCTAAATAATGGTTAGATTCAGCATATCAAAGAACCTCATATATTCAATTTTTGTTGAAATCAAACAAAGTTTAATTTTGGACCCCAATTTGGACCAACTTGAAAACTGGGCCCATAATCAAAAATCTAAATACATGTTTAGATTCAGCATATCAAAGAACCCCATATATTCAATTTTTGTTGAAATCAAACAAAGTTTAAATACTGGACCCTATCTTGGACCAACTTGAAAACTGGGCCCATAATCAAAAATCTAAACACATGTTTAGATTCAGCATATCAAAGAACCCCAAGAATTCAATTTTTGTTAAAATCAAACTAAGCTTAATTTTGGACCCTTTGGACCTTAATGTAGACCAATTTAAAAAACAGGACCCAAAATTAAAAATCTAAATACACGGTTAGATTTGGAATATCAAAGAGCCCCAATAATTCAATTTTAGATGAAATCAAACAAAGTTTAATTTTGGACCCTTTTACCTCAATATGAACCAATTTGATAACGGGGTCCACAAATAAAAAATCTAAATACATGGTTAGATTCAGCATATCAAAGAACCCCATATATTCAATTTTTGTTGAAATCAAACAAAGTTTAATTTTGGACCCCAATTTGGACCAACTTGAAAACTGGGCCAAAAATCAAAATACATGTTTAGATTCAGCATATCAAAGAACCTCATATATTCAATTTTTGCTAAAATCAAACAAAGTTTAATTTTGGACCCTTTGGACCTTAATGTAGACTATTTTGAAGACTGGACCCAAAATTAAAAATCTAAATACACTGTTAGATTCGGCATAACAAATAAATAAATGTGATCAAAGATTTTACAAATCTAATGTGCCATACTGTGCAATTAAAGATAACTTCTTGAAATTTTTCAATATTTGAAATTTGAAAAAAAAATTATATTTGAAGAATAATTCTTTTTAATTTCTGAAATCTGAAATGAGAAAAAATTGACCCCCCACAATTTCTTTTTATCCCCCCCCCCCCTTTTTTCCCCCAAAAAATTCTTTCCCTCAAGATATGGTCATAATCTCAATTCAAATTTCCAATGGAGTTGGCAACCATAATTACCCATTTAATTTTACCATAGTGCTAACTTAATCTATTTTATAAAAGAATTAAAAATATAGTGTCAAATCTTTCATATAGATTTTTTTGTAAAATAAAATGATGCAACATTTGCAGATATTTTTACTGGTCTTCCTTTATAAATATGCATTTCTTTAAACATAATTTAAAAGCAGTGTAAGGGAAGTAACCAAAACGGTGTATTTGGATTACCTCCCTTACACTGTTTTAAATTATCTTTATTGTTCATTAACCATTACTTTATACATAATTTAAAAGCAGTGTAAGGGAGATAATTTCAATGATGTATTTGATTTATCTCCCTTACACTGCTTTAAATTATGTTTTGTACTAAAGTATTTGTCCATTAACCAGGACAACCTTGTTTTTCCCCCTTTTTTGCCCCTAATTCCTAAACGGTTTGAGCCATAACCCCCCAAAGCAAATCCTAACCATCCCTTTGTGGTATGGAAACTTGTAGTATAATTTCAGAGAGATCCATACACTGTTCCACAGTTATTGTCTGGAAACTAGAAAATGCTTATTTTTGACCCCTTTTTGGCCCCTAATTCCTTAACTGTTGGTACCATAACCCCCAAAATCAATCCCAACCTTCCTTTTGTGGTATTTAACCTTATGGTAAAATTTCAAAAAGATCCATTCACTTAAACTAAAGTTAGAGTGCGAAAACCAATGTGTATTCGGACGACGACGCAGGACGACGACGACGCCGACGACGACGCCAACGTCATACCAATATACGACCACAAAAATTTTTTTGCGGTCGTATAAAAATTACTTGATATTTAGAAGAAAATAAAAATTTTGCAATTTTTCCATTTATAAAGGGGCATAACTATAGAACGGTTGAAACGACGCTACCAAAATTCAAACTTGATCTGTGTTTTGTGGTAATAAGCATTGTGTATGAGTTTCATAACATTTGGTTGCAGCAAACTTAAGTTAGAGAACGGAAACTAAAAACTTTGCAATCTTTCGATTTATTAAAGGGCATAACTCTAGAACGGATAAAGTGACGCCACCAAAATTCAAACTGCCCACTGTGGGCTGATGGAAAAATCAAAATCCACTAGAGCTGTTGTGTGCACTATTGAGTAAAAATACTGGAAGTGAAAGAAAATACTTCATAAAAAGTTTCTTTGAAATGAAATACAAACAATATGTAAAGCCAATGCTTTCACCATGTTTCCAAAGAAATAAATTGTTTAGGTCCGAATTTCCTCACTTATAAATGAAAAATCGCCTCAGTCACCCTGTAGCCTGAGCCCTGTATAATATTAGTCATTTTTTCCATTTTATGTATCACAACTTTTCATTAAAGCAGTTTGAAGAAAATATCAACAAATCAGGTGTTTGCTAAATGCTGAATTTCCAATTTAAAGAATACAAAATCTAAGGTGACATAAATTATAATTTATTTTTTGAAAACAGCATGGTCTGATGAAACCAAAATATGAATTAAGAGAGATGGGTATACATTTGTACATGTATGTCTTTCAAAAGCAACCCCACAACAAATAAAAAGCCTTCCAGAATCCACACAATTGCTGATAGCTATATATATAGTGATACATTTTTGTAGATAACATGAAAATATAAATGTACATTCTTGTTTGTCATAAATTCCATACAATGTATATGTAAATAATATAGACACCAATAGATTTGTATCAAAAGAATAATCAATAGTGCAAGTCAGGTCAGAATCTCATATCTACATGTAACAAACATAATAAATGTATTCCAACAAAAAAGTGTGTGTATCATATGCACTAATTTAGATTCTGAAATCTAATTGATTACTCTTCAGCTACAATACTGCAATATCTGGAATGTAACTGGGGTCAGACTTAACAAGTGATTTTTACCTGTGTCATTGATTTTCCCCTTTCCTCTTGGTCCTCTTCCCATGGTAGTTTACTACGACCTCGACCAGCACTTAAAAATCGAGTCCTGTTGGTTGGAGTCAAACTCTCACTTGGTATGACATTAGGTGTTGACCTGGCAGATGAAGAGACAGACTCTAGTTCCATGGTGTCTGATCTAGAATACTGTCGAGCTGAGGAACCTGACCCACCAACTGCCATTATCCATTCAATGTCAGCACCATGAACATACTGGCTCCTCGATGAAGCTGAACTCGGCATGGGTGTAGCATACTCCACTAACCGATCTGAGTTCAATCTTGGTAGTTGTCGTCTTGCTAACCGTGCTTGAACAGCAGCCATGACACCTTCTCCTTCGTTCATTAATTCAACAGTGTCAACAGCATGTACTAATGGTTGCATCCTTCCCTGTCCCATAGCTTGGGCTATCACAGCAAAACATTCTAATACCGCCTGACGCACCTGTCTTTTACTGTCTGTTAATAAAGGTGCAATAGTTTTACAAATTTTTGGGAGATCAAAGTCATAACTTGGGAATGTTAGCAATGCTGCAATCAAAATATTGATAGTTTCTTGTCGCACACGAGAGTTTTTATGAGTCAAATTATTTTCTAGTATCACAGATAAAACAGGCTTTGCTTGGTAACTCTGCATCATTTTTATGGCGACCTTCATCACAGCCTGACGCACAACTATTTTATTGTCACCCATTCTTTTAGCCAAGGTTGAAGATAAAGGTTTCAAAAATTGCTTAACATTCTGGCCTAATTTTTCCACCAAAATTTCTAAAATTTCTAATGTAACTGTAGTGGTTTTGAAATAATTGTCATCTAGCAAATTATTAAGAAAACTAATGAAAGGCATCATGTGGGGCAGAAGGTTTCCTGCAATCTCTTGATGTTGCAAGTCTCCAACAATTCGCTTCATTTCCTCAACTCCTTGAGCACGCAATTTGAAATTCTCTTGGTCATTTATTTGATTCATTACATGACTAGGGACTATTCCAAATTCATATGACTCAACATACTGGGCACGACTGCTGTTTGGCATTTGTGTTGACTTGGAGAATGGTTTTGAATTTCTAGGTGTGGTTGATCCTGAGTTATAACCATCTTGCAAGTCTATATCACTATTTGTCAGCTGACAGTAATACCGCCTAAGTGGCACTGCAAGTTTCTGAATGTAAGAGGTAAACTCCCGTTCACCTACTAAATTACGAATTTTCTCCATAGTTGTGAGGACATTTTCACGAATACTATCCTCTAGAGAACTGTTCAGTAATTTCCTTGCCAAAGATTGAGTTATGTCAAAAAAGTTTTCCCTTCCGAACTCTGGTGTGAAAAGCATTGGTAATGCAATTATTGTTTCTTTTTCAACACGTGGATCATTATTATCTAAGCCATATTGAACAATAGCTTTCAATAACCCTTGCACTCTACGAGTATGTTTCATATAGACATGCAAGGTTTGAATAACAGCTCTTCTCACAGTTATTTTGCTCTCTCCAATATTTGGAATAAGTTTTCCTAAAACAACTGTCATGCATGGGTCTAAATCATCCCCAAATTGGGGAATTACTTCATTTATTAATTGTATGCATTTCAGGCGAACATCCCAGTTCGAATCTTTAAGAGCCTGAGCTAAACCATTAAATATGGCCTTTGGATCACGATATGGCAGTTTTCCACCACTTCGTCTAACCTTGATAAGCAATTGTTCGAGTATTTCAACTCGATTGTTGAAGCTCTCGTCATTAAGTTGGTCGAGAACTTCATCTTCTTCCATATTCCAAACCCTCGATTGGTTTGTATCTAGATATGGGGCATTGTTATATTCAAGACTTGAAAACTTTGTTACGTGCAACTTGTTGGCTACCTTGCCAGCCATCTAAAAATCACCTGAACTACGAATGTAAAGCTTGATTTTGTGTCTTTGTCAGAGTTTTTGACACCTGCAATCACGAAGGCAGAGAGTCTTGTTGATAAAGGATTTGAATATCATTCCAAATCATGGTTGTCGAATTTTATTTTGCAGTTGCACATTGTTTTTTCACTTCACTTCACGATTTACCTGTCAAGATGGCGGATTCTCTGACAACAACACAAACTATGGAGGTCACGTGACCATTCCCCGGATGCTTGGTAAATATATATTACGAATTTGCGAATTAAAATTATTGCAAAAGGTTGTTACCTGATACTCAGCACGATACACACTACTCTAAAAACTTAATGATTTTAAATTTTATGTGGAATTTTCCCTATAAGGTTTGAAATCTTAAAAATTCTCAAATAGTATTATTTGACTTTTGTCAAGGATTTGTATGCAAAAGTTGTTTAAAATTGTAATAAATTGTTGTTAATAATAGTTATTTAAAACTGTAATAAACTGCTTTTTGCAAGCAGAGACAAACATTATATTTAATAAAACTGCAAGATGGGACCAAAATGAGAACATTCGGTTTTCCCTCACGAGGAAAGAGTTTAAAGCAAGTTTTGACTCTAGATCTATATCGAAAACATATTTGGCAAAAGTGCAACTTAACTGATTCACATCTGAATGTCAAAACATTATAATTGCTGTTATATCAAGTCTAAGCTAATACAAAAGAACAAAATCAAAGTGTATGACTAACTGATCAAATGAATAGTGGCCAAGCTTACGATAAAGTGGAAGTTATGTTAATTAACTTATTTTAAAGAAAACACATGATATCATGATAGGGGAGACATGGTAAAAGAGTATGTTACTATATGGTAAACTTGATCAGGCATAGAATAATCTTAATCAGCTGAAATCGATTGCATTTTGCAATGAAATCAAATACAATAAGTAATGTCTGCATTTTCTGATTACAAGTAATGGTAATTTAATCAATTAGTATTAATTAATAGTAATTTAATAAATTAATGTTAATTAATAGTAATTTAATCAATTAGTGTTAATTAATAGTAATTTAATCAATTAGTGTTAATTAATAGCAATTTAATCAATTAGTGTTAATGAATAACAATTTAATCAATTAATGTTAATTAATAGTAATTTAATCAATTAGTGTTAATTAATAATAATAATAGTCAATTAATGTTAATTAATAGTAATTTAATCAATTAGTGTTAATTAATAATAAATGAATCAATTAGTGTTAATTAATAGTAATTTAATCAATTAGTAATAACTATGATTTAAGTGTATTTTCAACAGAAATAAAACGAAAGAAAAAATAAATACAATTAAAAACCAATTCTTGAAGGTCTTTCCACCTCGATAATAAGAATGGAATTTAAAAAACAGTTTTGGAAAATGTCACTCCTGGTTGATGTTATTTGTTACTTCATACTGATATAAAAAATAAGATTTATAGGTTCTTTTTCATAGGATTAGCCTGAAATAGGCAACTTCCGGTTAAAATACGGTCATTTCCGGTTGATCTGATAAATGATGAAATGTCTACAACCAAATGTAGAAGACTTAATTGTTTTATAATGAACCAGTAAGAATTTTTAGCAAAGGTCAAAATCTAGAACGTCAAATTGACCTTTGACCTTGACCTCAATTTCAAGGTCATAGGTCAGTGATCTCAAATTGGAAGAACCCAGGTCAATCACTTGTATGGTTCTGGTGTAATACTGATTTCAAATACATAAGTGGAGAAAATTCCTATAAGGGTTGACCGAAACCCTTCGACTTAAATAGGTTGAAGTTGCACCCTATCGTAAATAATTATTTGGCAAACACATCATATCATTAACTGTTACGGTTTCTTTTGAATAAAGATAACAAGCAAAATTTAAAATTTAGAACATGACCTTGACCTTCGACCTTGACCTCAATTTCCTTTAAATGGACCAAGGACTTCATATCAAAATACTTTAGGCCTCTACGACTTATAATGTATGAATTTATCCAACATATCACCTATTTTAAATTTTTAAAGGGAAATAACTCCCATAAGATGTCTTCCAATCACATCAATTTAACTTAACCAAACCATTCTTAAGAGTAGACGAACAATTTGGTGAAAACAGTTTGTTGAAATCTTTTACGATTTCAGAGAAATAAAGAGAACAAGAAAAAGGGGATGCAGGGAGATAACTCCTACAAGAATAAGTGTTCTGTTACACAGGGTGAGTTTTGAAATCCTCATCATTGTACGAAATCATTGGCCAAAAATCCTATCGATATGTTGTAAAGCAAAAAAACATCTTTGACGGCAGAAGAACAAAAAATTAATCAGAAGAAAAGCAAAAGGTCTTTCCACGAAAAGTGGAAAGACCTAAATATTTGGTTAAAAAAGAAAAAAAACTTTATATCTATTTAAAACTTTAGAATATGTGAATATATTTACGTTAAGATATCACAATAAACTTAGATGCATAATGCAAATAAGCAGTATTAATTAAAATAATTTATTATATACTTAGTAGTAAATACATGTAAACTGTATGTGTAATACAATCAATGGCTATCGTGCTGTATCAACCATCCGTGATGATATCGATATCAGTCACGGTTGCAAAAGCTTTATCAAACCCATAACCTCTATGACGTTACAGCATCGATATCAGTCACGGCTGTAAAGGCTTTATCAAACCCCTAATCTGAATTACATCATCTCACGTGAAAAAAACATCTACTTGAAGTATATAATAAAGTGTATATGATATGGCTTTTTCAATATCACACCCCGTATCAACCCTCAACCAATATAATCCCTCGAGCAGAGCTCTTGGGATTATATTAGTGTCTCTGATTGATACGAGTGTGATATTGAAAAAGCCATATGATATTCTCTATTTATTCACGGTTAAAAAATTTATGAGAACAATTTACGTCGCATAAAAAACTTATAAATACTTATACATAAAAATGGTTGAATCTCGGAGCGGTTCATGATTTGTATAAATTTTAAATCATCATTCAAATTTTCGAAACTATTAATATGTTGTGAACATTCTGAGTAAAGGTAAGTCATTATATATATATATATATATATATATATAGACAACATGCAGTTCAATAAAAAAATGTTTCTCAGTTTCAACTCTATTGTCTTAGATATATATATATTCTTTATTCTCACAAACCAAATTACAAAGGTATAGAGATAATTATACATATTTCAATACAATTACGTAAATAAATTAAAAACCAATTCTTCAGAGAACAATTGAAGGTCTTTCCACCTCGATAATAAGAATGAAATTTAAAAAACGGTGTTGGAAAATGTCACTCCTGGTTCATGTAAATTGTTACTTCAAACTGATATAACAAAAAAATAGAATTATAGGTACATTTCCACAGGATAAGTCTGAAATAGAATACTTCCGGTTAAAATACGGTCATTTCCAGTTGACCTGATAAATAATGATGAGTTTACAACCAAATGCAGAAGACTTAATTGTTTTATAATGAAACAGTAAGAATTTTTAGCAAAGGTCAAAATCTAGAACGTCAAATCGACCTTTGACCTTAACCTCAATTTCAAGGTCATAGGTCAGTGATCTCAAATCGAAAGAACACAGGTCAATCACTTGTATGGTTGTGAGGTAATACTGATTTCAGATACATAAGGGGAGAAAACTCCTATAAGGGTTGACCAAAACATTTAAACTAAAATGGGTTGAAGTTGCGCCCTATCGTAAACAGTTATTTGGCAAACACATCATATCATTAACTGTTACGGTTTCTTTTGAATAAAGATAACAAGCAAAATTCAAAATTTAGAACATGACCTTGACCTTTGACCTTGACCTCAATTTCCTCCAAATGGACCAAGGACTTTGTATCAAAAGACTTTAGGCCTCTACGACTTATAATGTATGAATTTATCCAACATATCACCTATTTTAAATTTTCAAAGGGAAATAACTCCCATAAGATGTCATCCGATCACAGCAGTTAAACTTAATGAAACTATTCTTAAGATATAAAGATAACAAGAAAAAGGGGACGAAGGGAGATAACTCCTACAAGAATAAGTGTTCGGCTACACAGGGTGAGTTTTGAAATCCCCATTACTGTACTACACCATTGGCCAAAAATCCTTTCAATATGTTGTAAAACAAAAAAGCATCTTAGACGGCAGAAGAAAAAAAAAATAATCAGAAGAAAAACAAAAGGTCTTTCCACGAAAAGTGGAAAGACCTAATAATGTACGAAAGTAGAAGGAGGCATTCACAATTGTTCACCCAGACAAGTTCAATTTGTTATTGATCTCCTTGATAAGTTTACATAGTTCATTCAGTTCTGTACATTTTTTGGAATTCATTAAGTCATAAAACTTCAACGTGTTGGGTCTATTTCTATAATGAAATGCAATACATTGTTTTCTACAGTTATCAAAAGCTGAACAATTAAAAATGTAATGGTATTCATCACCAATGGCATCTAAATTACACAATACACACTTTCTGTTTTCTCTTTCTATGTTTTGCCATCTTCCAGTTTCTATTGGAAATTTCATGTTCAGAGTTCGAAATTTAAGAAATAAAGATATCTGCCTGTCATCCAAAATACTTTTTTAAAAATAATTCAAAAGAACTCCAAAGAATCTTTAAATAAACGATAATTTAATGCTTTTGGTGATTCCTGTAGGCTTGCTAGCCAATTTTGTTTGAACTGATCTATTAAGTGCTGTTTAATGGTTACATGTAGCCATGTTTTCTTTACAAAATAGATATTGTCCCATACATATGACAAGCCACACGTGTCTAAAATTGATTTGACTTGTTTTAACCATAAAATATTTGTACCATATTTAAAGTTGCTAAGTTATACAAAATATAAGGCAATTTGCCATGTTTTCCAGTTACCAACTTGAACCAATAATTTATCATTCGTAATTTGATTGAAATTTCGAATGGATATCTTCCCAATTCACCATAAATCATAAAATCAGGAGTAGACTTTTTTACTCCAAGTAATATTTTACAAAATTTAATATGAACCCTCTCGATCATTGAATTGTCAGAACAATAATTACACGATCGATCTTCAACAGGTATTGGCGGCCTGGTGTATCTTCCAGTCTCGATGGCTAACCTAACGGGAGCGAGCCTGCACGAAACATGGCCATTACACATCGGTACTACCGTGGAATAATTTTGAAAC